GTATATTTATCCAACATTTTGTTTCGTTGTTTCTCTCTGTTTTTATTAAAAATTTATAACCATACAAAATTTCCTCGACTCTCGTGTTTTCTCTCCGACAACTCGCTTTTCCCCTTCGAAACGGGACGACAAATAGATCAGATACGTGTATATATAATCGAAAACTAGCTTATTGTTACACTCGAATTATCGTATAAAAATAACACGCCGTCTTGCTTTCTCACACACGCGTTGTGCACATGCATTTGTCGTTGATTCGCTCGTTACCTGGTAACTCATTCCAAATAACTCGAATTTCGTTCTCCTCGATTCAGTTGCAAGCTCTAATCTCCGTTTCGCAATTCGTTTGCTCTTTCTTTGCGCGCGAGCAAGCGATCGATTCGACTGATGTTCGTCGACGAAGTAATATATTGGAAGACTACTCGCGTATCTTGTACCTCATCGCCTGAGATATTTCTACAATTGTAATGTCAACAAAGTTATCCCAATGTGTCCCCCTCCGATGCTAAATTCCTTAATCGTGGCGGGAAATTAAATGGTAAAAAAACACCAACGGCGAAACGTGGTACATTTCGATTCGTTCCCTCGCCGAATTGAGAGGCGAGGATAAAGTAAAGACTTTTCGGAGAAGTGTATTTCACCGTGAGGAACGTTTGACAGCGTACGATCGTGATAGGCACTTATGTTTCACGTAACAAAGTCCAAGTCTAATCTCGAAATATAATCGATCGCGGAGATCGGTACTACACGCCATATTGTCACGTCGCGCGTGGAAGCATGCTCCAAAAAGGCACGAGATTACACCGCCGGTTAGTCACTTTATCCTTGCCTCTCAGTTTCGTTTCGTTTCACTCGTTGTCTTCTTGGTTCCCACGCAAATGGAACAAGACAGAGAAAAGAAGAAGTACACCGAGGAGGAGAGAAAGAGAAAGAGAAAGACGCGTCGAGAAAATTTGCCGTGTGTCAACGAGGAAGAAGACAGGAAATGGGACGAACGTATTCGACTTGAATCGTGACACGTCTCGTAATATGCTTCGTTATCCTTACCTAGCTTCTCTTTTCTTCTTCTCCTTTTTTTCTCTTCTTCTAATTCTAAAACGTTTCAGTAACTAGTTGACTCGCCTAAATTCCGCCCGATCA